CCTCTAACCTCTTCTTTCAAGATTTAATTCACGTTTTCTAATCTTGTCGTAGCAAACCTTTTGACATGTGTCGATCAGAAACAAATCGAATTCCAGAGAAGTCCTCAATTCGCATTGAAATGGAAAGTTGGCAGAATTTAACCGGTTTGCGTGTGCCCGATGCAATTATTCCAAGAATGCTTGTTCGCGCAAACGATGACCATACAAATTCCAGAACGCACTCCGACCCCTCGATCGAGTCGCGCACGCATCTACTTCGGTCAAAGTAGGTTACGGTTCTTACCGTTTCCTCGTAAAAACCCCCCATGTGCATATTAACACACCTACTTTTATAAGGCCCACTCCGTGCCCACGTGTTCCTCTTGTAGGCATACGCTTGTGCACGGTATGACGAGTCAGCATCGGGATTTCGACATGAATCTCGAGGTATTCCCTGATGTGGCTACCGCCGATCGAACGCAGCTACTTCGCGTCATCGTCACTTTAATTGTCCTTGACGTTTAAATACAATTGTGGACACGAAGCATTACGTGTCCCATTGTACTGATATCTTCATTTGCATATTATTTCAGCCCAATCGATTTATTAAAAACTCTTTCATTTATAGTTTTTCTTTTTTGCTTAAAATGCTAATTTTCTTTTTAGAGAAAAGAAGTAAATATACATAAACGTGGTACCGTGTGATATATAAAAAATAAATGCGCGATAAAGGAAAATAAAATTCGAATATTTCTTCAATGATTAATATCTTCTTAATAATTATTTAATTAGATCACTATATCTTATAAAGCTAATACTAATTAATTCAGCATTAATTATTGATTTTGGGTATCGCTTGTCTTCTCATTTTCAATCGCTTCTCTCTCTCTCTTTCTCTTAAGTCTAAAACAAAAATATCATTCTATTCTCATTTTCATGAAGTGGAGCAAAACACCGCGTAAATGCACGTAACCGCTAGAGTCGTGCAGGTAAGTAGCGCGCGTTATCTAACAAACCGCGAGAGCGAGCACACAAGAACCGGGCGCTTCGCGCGATGAAAGGGAAATTCTGCCTTTTGCCCCGCTTAGCGATCCGCGGAAATCACGATGCGGTTCCGGTCGTTGATCCTAAGTATTCTCCCACCGAGCGATCAGCTGCAGAGTTTACCCTCCCCGCGTGAGTGAGCCCGGCGCACTACCACTACTGTTACTATTACTATTACTATTACTACCACTACTATTACTTCTCTTGGCTCCACCGCTCACCTTCACCTCGTCTCTTACTCAACGATCGCGCGCGGACACCGAGTCTTTCTACCCCCGTTGCGTAATCGTCGTACACAATCATTACCGAGTCGAATCGTCACTCGAGCGGAATAAGTGCGCGCTGGATCGAAGCCGGCGCATTAGCTGGCGCACCGTCCCATCGACTGTCGGGTGCGAAGTTCACGATGACCAAAGTGAACCCGTGACATTTCAGGTAAATATCGGGAATCTCTCGATCCTTGATTAAATCTTGGGGTCTCTGTATTCTTATAATACTTATACTGATAAAAAAAAAAAATACGTCGAAATGATCATGAGAACAATTTTTTGTACATTTAGAGAGCGTTTAAAATCGTACTTTTAAGAATCTATATTATTATCGAATGGCAAAGAAAAGGTTACATTTGGAGAATAGTTACAGACACGTGTGTGCGATAAGGTTTAAAATACTCGGAAAAAATTACCGTGAACAAGCGTTTCAGCGCCTAAGTGCACTTTAAAAATAGTGCACTTAGACAATGTGAGCGAATTACAATGTAAAACGAAATTGTTTAAAATATCTCATGTATCGATAAAGGACCATTATCGTTCTAAAAAAAGCAGCTCTTCTTATTTCTCGCTGTTTTCGAGAATTACTTATGAGACATTTGCTTATGCTTATGCGACTCAGGGTTAAGATCGCGTCGATACCGCAAAAGCCATGTCGGCATCGCGCGCTTATCGGGGCTCGTTTAGGTGCCAGCTGTCAAGGTCTTATCATTTTTCCGCGTGTTCGGCGGCTCGTTAGGCTCGCTCGTAGCAAAAAATATCAATGTTTTCACGTTGACTGTTTCGCATCTTTATCGTCGCTGATATCGCCGTTGACGACGGCTTTACGTCCTTGCGCGAAATGAACGTTGAACCCCGTCGATGAGAAACTGCATAGTGGCACATCCTCTCGACATCTCGCGATTTCTCGTGAATCATCCATCGTTCGTCTGTATCTAAAACCGATTACTATTCGCTCGTCTGTGTGTCTTTCGAGTCTCGATGTAAAGATAATAGAATAATGCGCGATGCACGTTTAAATAATGACGGTACAAATCGTTTATTACGACCTTACGTAGAAATTTATTTAAATTAATAATAGAAGCTATAATTATTCTATTAAAATAATATTAGAATTAATGGGCAATGATAATCAATAAGAAATAACTACATCATCGTCTTTTGTATGTATACGTATATGTACCTGCATACATTATCATGTTACAATATCTCGTACTATCTTTTTGACACTTATAGAAATCTGATAAAATTGTTGATATACTAAAGAATTTTAATCCTATCGTCAATGTAACTTTTGGTCAAGAGTCAATCCTATATAATCCTATATAATAGAAATGTTGATTTTTTTCTTATTGTATAAGAAGAAGCGATAGAAATTTTAGATTTATGATACAAAAGTATTGTTAAATACAAAAACATGTTTTGATCGCAACGTGAACCATATGAGATCATCATCAAACGCTTTCTCGTTTACTTTGCAATGCATATTATGCAAGTTTTTCTTTGAGAAAGGCCATGATCCTTCTAAAAAAACATACATTCAAAATAGAGACTCTATCGTCTCTGTATTTACTTATATATTGCTTACGTATTACATACATTTGACTCTCAATTGCGACAGTTAAGTTACGATTGTCATAATAAGTAAAGAAATGGCATTATATGACACATAGCAATATAATGCACAAAGAGAAAAACGTGTTTGTATAATTAAATAAGAAAGAAGATAAAGCTACATAAAATCATAAAAGCATGAAAAGAGTAATCTTCAGTAATAGGATATGGAACTAATAAAAATCAATTGCATTGTCTTTAAACGTAGACACACACACACACACACACACACACACACACACACACACACACTTTGTTTTTTTCTTTTATATTAAATTTATAAGAAAGTTTATGCATCTGATACAGATTAAAAAAATAACTGACTACACAGAAAGAAACACTGAATTATTAATCAAAGCTAGATAAGTTCGACGGACAATATAATTAATTTAAGCGACATTAGTTTTAAGATAATTATAAGTAAAATAATTGTAGAACCTTTTTTGTAAAAATTTGTAAAAATTAAGGAATTTCTTGGAATAAATTCGCAGCTTAAGAAAATGGATTGTCATTAATCTTAATGATCTTAACAATTATTGTGTAACAAGATCCAATTAACGCACGCGAGAAAGCGCAAAAGCGATTGATTGGCACAGAATGATTTAAAGCGCGCAATCTCGAATTATCTAAATCTCGCACTATCAACCTTATTGCGACTCTCGAAAGACACACAAAAATATATATAATTTAATGAATATTTTTTGGTTGCACAGGGCGTAACATCTTTGGAAATCACGTATTTTTCGGATCGATAATTATTCGAATATATTTTCCCAATTAAATAATTTGCAAGATTAATTGTGTCGATAAATGCTTGCTATAAATCCTATATAATTTCCAAATCTTGAACGTACATCTCTATCAAGATTTGTCAAAATTATAATTCATCTATATGAAGGATATACAAAAACAACTTTTATTTATCATTCCTTATTTATATTAAGAATTATTATATGAATAAGAATTAGTATTATATTTATATTAAGAATTATATTATATATTAATTATATTATATGAATAACAGAAATAAAATGTTAGCCTTCTTTTATAAATAAGTGTTTATGTAAATAAAAATTGAAACAATCATATTTTTAAAAAACATTTCTTGAAGTGCTGTAAAATACAATTAACGTACTTAGAAAATCAAATATATAACTGATTTCTTTCTAATTAATAATGTTTACCAAGATTCGCCTTAACTCGTCTTAAATTTAAATTAATTTTCTCAAGTTTATATAAAATTCTTCAAGTTTATGCAAAATGCTATTGGGCCTCATCGTGTTAAAAAGATAATTCGAAATTATCTTACTATTACTTATCAAGTATTAATGTTTTCGCTAATTATAATCCGATTGACGGAGATGACAATGACGAGGAAAGCGGATGAGAATGATGAGGCGTATATTTATCAGTTATCAGCGCATTCTCCGCTGACAAACATTAGTTGCTCCACGTGATAATTAATACACAATTGTTATCGTGGTATACGAGAATAACGACGTATATGGGTGGTTCGATGGCAGCGACCAATAGCTCGCAGTTGTGGTGCCTTACCCCCATACACGTGACCCCACGAGCGGTTGCTACGTCATTATCGTGGCTCTGACCCCGCGGGGGCAAAATAATACGTGATATTTAATAACGCGTTGTCGACCGAAACATGCCAACATATTTTTTTGCGCAGGCTATCGAAATGTGACGTGCCCTCGATTATCTCGACGTGCCGTAAATCACTCGATATGTGGATGGACCATCTTTGCCTCCACGTGGCGATAGGGATGATGATTATAACGCTCTCGATTTATACAATTTTGTTCGAGTCAAATCTAGTAACCGTTAATTTTCGAAAGCTGTACGGAACAGATTTCATGTATATAAAAAATCGTTAAATATATGTTTCTAATTATATATCTTACATTTTCGAATTGTAATATTAAATAATAATTTTTATGAATAGATTTATAGTAGAATGTGAGCTCGTAAAAATCGAAAACAAAATACATAGTATTTTTATAACGTCATAAGTATTTCTAGATCCGTACAGCTGTTAATATTTTAGTCAAAGATGAAGAAGAGAGAGAAGAAGAAACTCACCAATTGATGAATCACATTTTCAAAGAAGAAATCAAAGCCATTCATTGAGCCAATCGCTAAAACATATAAGAGAAAAATCAATCAATTTAGAGATTATAAAATTATTTACACATTTTACGCAATAAGTAAAATACATAAGATATTTTGAAATAATTATAAATAATAGTAATTAATAATTTCAATATACAATTTTTAATTAATCAAAAAATATAAAATTTTGCTTTTATTAAAAAAACAAATTTTTATATAACATAATAAGATTACAATTAAATGCTCTATTAATCTCTAATTTTATGTATTACTATATGTGTATGTATATATATTAAAAAACGAGGATAAAATCATTTTTTTATATTATAAATCATTTTTTTTATATTACTAGAAATTTATATAGTGTGATTTATACAGATGCCGCTATAATACGAGAATGCTTTGAAATGCTTTTCTGCGCTACAAAGCAAAGCCGGTAAAATTGGAATCGTGTACAAACTTATCATTTCTGTGTATATGTATATTTTTTTAATAATAAATAAAATTATAAATAATTAACCCGATTAAACCGAATTTACACAAATAATAATAATAGTAATATTAATTATTTACAGTAATAAATATTGTAATAGCAATTAATAATTAATAAGAATTTCATAATAATTTAAAAAAATCGGATTTTAGATAGAGAATTTTTTATAATATATTATTTAATAAAAATAGTTAAAGTTGAAAATTGAAAATTGCCTTTTTATAATATTTAATACATTGTTCTATTAATTAAATATTATATGTTTTAATTTTATAAAATTAAATATTAAAATTGTTTAAATTGTTATACTTTTTTGTTAACTTTCTGCAATTTTCCGTAATTGTTGCCGATAAATGAAATATTTCATTTTGAATACCCAATACTTTCAACTTATCTACTGAGAGTAAGTATCAAGCATCGATATTTTAGGCATTCTCGGACAGAGTGTTCCGAGCTCAATGCGTCCGTATTCTGGATGTGTTATCTATTGTTAAAAGATATTCGCGACAGAGTCACGAATGTACCAAGAAGATGGAGCATGCGGAAAGTACTCCAAAATTTGCGTTCCTTAGCAATATCGATATAACTTTATGCTTCGTATTTGGTAACGTAAATCTTTCCGTTCGTTACTAAGGAAATAATAGTTTCGCGTATTCTCTCGTTTTCAGTCTTCGAACAAAGCAAGGTGGCAAATGAATTTAAAAAATCATCTTTCTCGCGTGCAAAGGTAAAATTATTACATAATATTTATACTAATACACTTGGTCTATTTTTATGCGTTAATTATTTTCGAAATAAATAATCAACATTTCGATTTCAATTTCGTATTAAAATTATCGTGTAACAAAACTAAATCACATTGTCATAAAAACTTTTAAAATCTTATCCATAAATTTGGATTTTTAATAGTTACGTGTTTTTAAAATTAATTAAGAGAATTCGAAATATTAAATATGATATTTCCTAAAGTAAATTTGCTTACGAAAATTTATAATAAATAAAAAAATTATATCTTTTTCCATATATAAATACAAAGTGTGCTTATATACGCAGAAAGATATAATTTTTTGTAGAACACTTCAAAACAAAAATATATCTTTCAATTATTTTCAATTTATTTTTCGATTGTTCAGAAAATAGAAAATTTTGTATTTTAATTCTCTTGCAAAAGAATTATTTCTAACGACAAGTGACTACAAATATCTTGTATGACAGGCTGAGAACATTTGACGTCCGCACTGTCACGAGAAAGTTTAAAGACTTATATATACTTTTCGATTTGTGCACATGCCAAATAGTATTGTCGTAATAGGAAAGTCAAAAGAACGAATTTATCGACTACGATCGTTCCTTATCGCGACTACCGCGGGTGAGCACAAGTCCCACAGGTGAAATGATCAAAGTTCACGAGGCGCCGCACCACTCGTGCCTGTCCACGTCAATTTTCACGTAATATGTCACGTAGAAGGTACGGAATTGCTGCGGGGCGTCTTTGATCTTGCGGCCCGTCCCCTCCGGACTCCGCCGTACCTCTGTCCACCTTCCGAAAACCCACCCTTCGAGTCACGCGCCACGTATGCGCCGAGGCAAGGGTGGCCAAATCCAATTTTATTGTTTGCACGCTTAGGCGCAGCCAAATTACACGATTGTAAGCGTAACGCGGAGAAATTCGCCCTTTTTCGGCACATCCTGCAAGTAAGATACGAAACTTTATCTTGCCTTGTGCAAGAAAATTTCGAATTTTATTTTTAAATGCACGATACTTCATATGAATAAAAACCATATATTCTTAGCGTAAATTAGAAACAATGCCTTAGTTATGTAAATGTATACATAATTGTACTATGCAATTTATATTCTTTATTATTTATATGTATTTATGTACCTTTATTTATATTCTTTTGATAATTGCTTTGGTAAGAGAAACAGAAGCATTTGAATGTGTTATTCGTTTTATCTTATTTTCATATAATTCAATATTAATATCTTCTATAAAATTTTTTTAAAATCAACTCGTTCAAAAGAAAATGCAGAGAAAATATGACAAAAAAAAAGTAAAAGATAATTCGCATAATCTTCTCACAATCATCAGAAATTAATAAACTCGGACTTGACCGAGATTTTCGGTAAAAAATTTGAAAACGTATTGCGCCAAAGATCTAAATAACAGAAAAACTGAAAGATTCACAAAGAAAAGAATGCGAATCTGAGATGCCGATCCCCGTAGCGGTCTATAGATCATTCCATTGTGCTAAAGGGGGTGTGTACACACACATTATAACAGGAACATAATGGCAAACGCGGATGTGTGTACACACAGCGGGACCGGTGGCGACACAGAATGTGCGGTGTTTGGTCTCCATTAATTTCGGATCGACTGGATGGTTACTGCAGGCCACCTCTCGTATCTCTCTTTTTTTATGGAGCCATATGTCTACCGTGCGTCGCGTCCCCGCGCTCATTTGTCAGTTCGCAATCTGCCGCTCTGTTGCGATTTGATGGCAGCAGTCAAAACACATGGATCGGTTTTTCGCAAATGCACCGACGTTCCCGAATCTTAAAGTTTCAACGGAGACAAAAACAGCTTTTCATTGCGTGAAATTGCGAGGACACGTTGTACGTACACTTCTCGTTTGATCTCTTTAAATTCGCGAATTATTCTTGCACGCATTTTTATGATCATTCCTATATAAAACACACTAATAAACATTTCATGTTCATATATTTGTTAAAAAACAATTGAATACAAAAATAATCGAAAAAATCTGTATAGTTATCTTAAAATAATTATTTTATAATTATTTTAAAGATTTATGATGCATGTTAAAAGAAATATGCGCTATTAATTTATCCAATGATAAAAATATTTTGCGAAAAAAATATCCAACGACAATGATCGATAGGTTAAATTTAAAATTGGTTGTAGCTGTTCTAGCCATATATCTTTCCTCTAAAATAACATCCATAATCCTCTCACAGTAATGCGAATAAAACGATTCATCCCCTTGATATCGATAAGTCAATGAAGCATCAGAGCGTATCGTCGTCTCGCGGGCGAGAGATCGCGTAATGTACGGACAGTGACGTAGAAAATTGCGGCGCTACTCTGCGAAGGAGAGCCGAGGGGGGTGTTGTATGGCACGAAGGCAGGGTGAGCAGGAAATACCGAAAGGGCGAGAAGGGTACGGGCATCCCCATGGCGCGTATAATATCAATGGACGATGGCTGGGTGGCGATGATCGCGTCACATTAGCAGTCGAGCGTTCTATGAGCCACTGCCACTGCGCGCAACGTATGTGTATGTGTGTGTATATGCGCAGAGAATATATATACATATATATATTTTGGCGGTGTGTCACCCCCCAACGGTACCTTCGGATGTAAAATAAACGACACCTAATTATACGCGGCCCGTCTGCGTGAAAAGGGCCGGCCGACCTAAAGGCACCGCAAGTGCGTGCGAAGATGGCCGTCTGCTTAATGGGATTACGAAATTACAATTTAGATTGATCGTCCCGCGCAATATTTATAGGCGACATGCAGAAATAATCGCGATATTTTGATATTATTTCCATGATATCGATACTGCTAAATTATTTCAATTCCTTTCGCGCTCCAGATAATATTCGTTAAATTTATCATTTTTAATCGTATTTTCTCTCACTAACTGTAGCAATTTATTTTGTATCACTTCTACTAAAGTATTAATCAACATTGAGAGGTACTATCATTTATTTATTACTTCACGTTCAATAGACTTTGTGGCAACTTGATAAATTCATTTTTTATATTAATATATATTTTCACTTTGATATATCAGATATTAATAATACTTATTATACTAGACTCTGTTTTCAAATTTCGAAAGAAAGTGTAAATATCTTTAGTTACCAAGTTTCATATATTTTCCCGCAAATTTACGCAAAAATCTCCACATAGTGACGACTTCGACATCTGGATATAACTCGTAATATATGGAGGCGTCTGCGTAACCGCGCTTCTATTTTTTTTTGTAGACTGCCAAGGGGGTGGCTCGCCGTGGGTGTGCTGGGCGATGATTAATTAGCGTTTGATGAATATGTATGAGAGAAAGGCGACCGCGACTCTGACGTACGTATGCACGTACAATACGCGCGCATCAGCATTCACACACATATGCATATACATATGCTACGTTGTCGGGCATATCCCTCGCGTTACAATATAACCGCCCAACCCCCTTCGCATACCTCGTTTCAACCCCCGACGTTGCTCCGTGTTTCACCTCGGCGGATTCTGCGAGTCCTCCGTGAGCTGTTTAACGATTCGTTTCCTATGCGAGATATAACGCCGGTTAACGTTGCACAATGATGTATCTCGTCTCTATAAATTTGCACGGAAAAAAGTCACGTCACTGAATAGAAGAAAAAAATGTTTGGAAATAATTTGCGATGGATGTTATACTATGCTTTTAATTCTTTAAATTATAATTATAGAGAAAAAAGAGAGAAAATTGAGAATATTTTCTATATAAACTTATATAGTAAATATAGAAATATTTTATTTTTGCATATTAATATATATCTTTTGTATAATTATTATTTATACAAAACATCTTTTATAACTCCTATTAAAAGAGTAAATTTCCGAAACTTAAAACACATTACATAAATATATTTTATGCAATTATGATATTTTATGCAATTATAAAATTATTTTCAGAACGTAATAGTATTTAGAATGTATTCTAATTTCATAATGGTTACGATTGAAAATTAGCGTCGTGCTTTATGGTACGCATATGCAAGGGGAGCGAGGAATTAAAAACTCTCTAGATCGATATGGATATTTCCAATCGAACGGACATTCGACGGACATTCATCACGCGTTGTTTTCGCATCGAGGCGAAATATCAGGTATGGGTGGCGAGCGAGAGGAGCGGTCCGAGGGGTTTAGATTTCGCCAAAACGCGAGGCTGAAAGGCTGCGCTGCGCGCGGATTGTTCGCGCCGCGAAGAGAACAATGCAAACAATGGCCGGGACGTAGCGCTGCGGTGAGCCCAGGCTTACGCGGCGAATACAATTACATTATGAACTCGATTACCATTTAAATGGAAACAAACGTGAAATGCTAAAATACAGCGGCGAGTCTGCCCGCGTAACGCACGAAACCGCGCAAGCACCTCCCTCGATCATCGGTATGCAAATTGTGCACGAGCATTGTATACGGAATGTCCCATACTTACCGAAAAATATTTCACGCACAGATTCTTTGATGAGCACGAGGAGTCACTTTTTTTCTCAACGATAATACTCCTTGACTATTTCAAGTTTCAAGTAAACGAACGACATTATTTGTTTCAAACAAGAATCTATCGCGACAATAATTCAAATTAAAGTATATTTTTCCAAAATAAATTGATTCATGACAATCTCATTATTCAAATAAATGTAAAAAAGAGGCATTTTCTTTACCAATAGTCATTTTAAATCGCACATAAATTAGCTGCGATGCGGTAAATTGTAAGATGGAGCGTTTAACGTCATCGGCGCCTCGATTCTAATTATTATGCACTTAACTTTCTAATGAAGCGCGTCGAACGAGGGTCGTGGAAAACTGTGCGCTCGTGCACTGATTTCACGGGCCACCTGTCGCACTGTCGCCTCATCAGCCCTATTCGTTTCGTCGCATCGGTCACGCAGGGTGTAAGACATTATTCTACACGGAGGAGGGTCATGGACTATCCGCACCGTGGAAACTAGTTCTAATTTATCTGCGAAAATCGCAAATGAAAGGTTACTTTCTCAATAATCTTACTACACGACGCCTTTCATTTATCTTAATTTTTAAAATTCTCCCCTTTTAACAAAATTTATGTGTTTTTGAAGGATATAATAAATATTTTCAAATTATATTTATTATTTAAATATCCGCAATTATATTTATCGCATTTGTACTAATGAGGGAAATGTTAATAAGGGATCAAAATTATCAAGATTATGTGATATGATCATAATGACGTGAAGTATTTAAATCTACGTATTTAATCATATATAATTTAAATGCGCTTCAGAATTTAAATATTTAATAATAGCCTATTTATATAAAATCTAAAGATATTTGATTTGCAATTTCTGATGATAGATTGAAAGTTACCCTAGATCTCAAATCCACGCTTGCGGATGGGGCGTATCGTTTGCCCGAATCTGTTTGGATGTTTTCCAACAAAACCGCGTTAGGCTTTCCCGACTTTTGTCATCATCTGTCGCCGTTCGAATACAATACCAGTGAAACGACAAATATGTCAGATCGCGAGGAAACAAAGGGAAAAGCGCGCCGGGCGTCGAAACGCCCCTTGGACTCAATCGATTAGAAGTGTCCATCTTTTCGCGGCAAGAACGGACTATTCGCGCCACCAGTTCGATCGATTCAATCATGTTTTTTTCTACCAAATCGTTCATCGATCTTTCAGATGGTCGACAACCAATGTCGGAGTGACCGGGGAAAAAGTTAAGAGAGAGTAAGAAATGTGTGTGTGTAAACGAATCTCGACGACTCTCCTTTTCTTCGGCGCGGAATCATCAGACGGAACAGACGGTCGTCGACAAAAAGGGGGTGACTAAGGGGTAGGTGGATCTCTCCCTTAGATAGATAGGTAGGTGCGGTCAGTGTCACGAGGCCTGACAATGGCTGACCGCCGGTAGGGACATTCAAATGGTAATCGGCTCGCGCGTCTAACGTACACCGACGCGCCCTACCCAACCCCCGTTTCAAGGGGTGCGAGAACGGGCGCAACCCCTCGGCATACAGTCGAACACATTCGCACCAGAATCAAGCCAAATATTGGCAATATCATCCCCCGGCATTGTCCCTTACCGCGACCTGCCTCCTGCCACCGTCATCGTCGCCGTCGGTGGGAAACGATGTCCATTTGAATGCGCGATTCCATTACCGATGCCGGTATATCAGCCCGAGGATATTACCGGATTAGGATTTAAAGGGAAGCGGAATTTCGGCACGGCCGCAGAAACTCGGTCAATCCCGCAAAATAAGTCGCGATACTGCACAATGCAATAATAAATATTACTAATAAAGTAAAAAAAAAGAAAGAAATTCACGTAAACTTTAGCATCTTTGTATTTTTTGTTTGTCCCTTAGTCATACAGTCCTTTACTTTTCAAGTAAAAAATATACAATATATGCTAAATTTCCATGTGAATCAAAACTTATATCTTATATTTAAATAAATCTCTTATGTTATGAATAAAATTATAAGTGTTAAATTATAAAATTATCTCTGTTTTTAACCATATTAATATAATTAATTGTAAATCAATTCGTTAACGCTCGTTGCTTTGGAGAATATGCGAAATTATAGGCTAATTTCCGCGACAACGTTTTACTTAATTAGCGTCGTCATTTCGGTCGAAGCATACTTGATGCGCTTATGATAGTCGGCGATAATCCGGTTCAGGTCGTTGCGCCGATTATCTCTCGTAAAATGGGCGCTACCAGGATTCGCCGGGGTTCGTGGATGGACGCGTCCGTTTGACATTCACGAATAGATCTGTGCGATTCACGATCGCTGTTGATTCAGGGTGTGCAACGTCGCACGTGCGCCAGTGTAGACGCACGCAAAGCTCCCGCAACCCGAACTTCAGCACGCGCCACGATTACGCGATTACGCGATTACGCGTGTCGTCGTGTAGCTCGGGCTGATGCCCCGAAGGAGAGGTCGAACAAGCAATGACACGGAAGATGATTCGTGACCCTATCACCCTCTCCGCGAGAAGAGGGATCTTACATTGCGTAATAAGCGCGCATCTGCCGGGAAATGAAGGGGCGCCAATTTTTCGTCGCGTCCGACATTTATTTAGCTAATGTGAGGATTACGTTCATCGCTGGTGATATTCGGCATCGTAAGATTGAGAATCGAATATCTACAATTTATAAATGTGATTAAGAGGTGTGTGCGCGAAAAAATTCTTTTAAAAATCTTCTTTAAAAAATTGCGCTTTCTATGCGTCAGAGAATTTTTACAAAATTGATAATAAAGTGTTTATGCGCCTATATAATAATAATAAGATTTTATTTTCTTTTAATATGTCTCAGAATCCGAGATGTAAGGATGCATTTAGAATGGCATGCGTATGTATACTGGCCGGGATTCTGCGCGTCGCCTACAACGGGAATTAAAGGACAAGCGCAGGAGGGAGTGATAGGTACGAGTCGGCACGAGTCGACACGTGGCGGTAGCGCTTTATACAAACAGCATTATGCACGCTCGCGCTAACATAAATTACCACGGGTTTAATATTGGACGTCGGCGTTGGCCCTGACCGACCACCTCCTGAGCAAAACACGGGGAGAGCACGGTAAATGTAATCGCGATTCTTCGAATCGCTCGAGAAATTCCTCGAAGATCCGATATCAAAACGTGCAAATCGTAACAATCGCATGTATATTTCGATAAAATAATACAGAGAAATTTTAGAGAAAATCATCTCGTGTGAAGAGAATCACACAGTATTATAATTGAAATTTTAATATTCACATTTAATGATTTTGGGTTTAATTTTCGCATCAGTTGATTTTTACTCTTCCGAAAGAAACTATAAATTGATTCACACAACTATTATGAATCAATTGTTAGATTTAGTTACTGATGCTCGCGATAAAATTCATCTCTCTACCGGATACAAAGTCAATTGACCAGTTAAATTTGAACAAACAGAAAAGAGACGCGTGGGAATAGCATTATTCGTGGAAAGTCTCGATCGAATTTCACAGTAGGCTCTTTCACAGCGCGAAAGCATCCGTAAAATGACTTCGTCCTTAGAAAATACCAGAGTACCGCGAAGGCGAGAACGAGCGGAAGAAACGATAAGTGGAAAGTGATGCGATGCAGGCCGTTCGCATGAATTAAGATCGACTTCATTTATGAATGAGTATCGGGATCCACGCGAGTCAACTCGAGTGTTGCCCTTTGGTCAAACTAAGGCAAAGTCGCGGCTTAATCCCGAAGAGGCAGACCACGAGACCGGATACGGCCTCTTGAGTCCCGAACGGATTGATATTGTTTGCTAGCGATTTACGGGAAATTAAAGGAAGTCGTAGCAAACAGGACAATTGTTTGCTTGAAAGGAAATATAACAAATGTTTTGATTAATTAAAAAAATATTCCGGAAAATGTAAACAGAAATATTAAAGTCATTAAAAATGAGATAAAATATAAGAATAAATTCAATTTTATAATAAAACGAGGAGAGGTGATATATCGATTTTTTAAATCGCTCTTTCAACTGTATATTTTCTGGAGAGAAATAAAAATTGTATGCATATACAAATTTAATTTTAGAATTTCTGAAACATATGAAAATAGCTGATAAATATTTTCTTGCATACTTCTCACGATAAATTAATCACACGATTCATTGACAAGACATTTTCTAACGTTACTTTAATTCGCGACAGTATCGTAAAATGTTTCGACCAAAAAATTAAATTTGTATACGTATGCTTTATATTTTCAAGAACGTTGGTAACACTATAATGGCACAAACATTCTACGTGCGGAATCCTTATCCTGTGCCAGATGTCACCCGGGAGGGAGCGTGGATATCACGTGGACCCGTGTTGGGAGATAAAGTCTCGCCGTCGGATAGAGACTGGAACGTCAAGTTGAGCGCTCACGAGCGTCTCTTTGCTCACCATACCCTGAACAGCATCCGCAGGGATCGTCGATTCATCAGACCGCAGGTACGGCATTCGATATCAGAATTCAACTTTCATCGATACATGTTAATGTTCTTACAGGTTCCAGATGACGCTCTCGATTTAGCGTTAAATAGCGTCTACACTCACAGTCGAGACAGTCTGGTGTCAAAGATGTACGTGCCTATGCAGCCGGAAACACTCGGCAAAGAAACTTGGCGTGTCATGCGAAACGAAATCAAGGTACGCATATATATGTATATGTAATTAAATTATAAAGTACACATATATCCAAGGAAAAATTAAAATTAAATTTAAATTAAATTAAATTTAAATTTGAATTAAATTAAAATTAAATTTAAATTAAAATTCCGATATGAAAAACAAATCGGTTGCACATTTTTAGATTTTTCCGGAACCACCTAAACCAGATAGACCGATGCACGTGAGCGGTCATTCGGACGAGGAACTTAAATCGATCGTTCGGATACCTTTATCGGTGGATAAATCGAGGTGTCATAGTGGGCCAACTTTACCGCGGAGAATTCATCCGAGCAGCGTGAAATTAAATATCGAAGGTCCTCATATGGACCAATCGAATCCCGGATACAGTCGCAAAATCGACGGAACTTTTTACAGTATTTAAACACGGATTTAGATAGTGTTTGAGCGGCACGCTTGGAGAACGTTCGGATTAAGCTGAAATCTGGTATTCGCCGAATAAAGTCCTCGCTTTTACAAATACCATTATCGCTATTGGCATAATCTGTCGAGATTTGTGCTTTGAAATGCTTCGAAAAGTAGCAAATCGTCAATGTAACGCTCAAGACTCATGTATCACGAAGTATGTAATTAACCGCATCGATTGTTGCAATTACTTCCCGTGTCCAAATGATGCGATTATCCTATTCACGCTTATCTGATCGTGTTGACAAATTTACTCAGTGCTTCACGAATCTGCTTTGGCTATCGCTACCAAAGATCTCCCGGCTGCCAGTCGCCCCTTTGACAGTCCGATGCTGCACAGGCAGCCCAAAGATCGACAAAACGAGTAGACAGAGGCGTGAGTCAGTGCGCACCAAGTTTCTCACTACTCGGCTCGCCTCGACTCGACAGTGAGCCGAAGGGACAGAATGTCCCATTACCCGGGTAATCCTTGTTTGTAATAAACCAGCGCCCCGCTGCCAGTGGGATGACAGCGGAGCCACCCTTGCCGAGGGCCCGCGCGGAGGAGGAGCCATCTCCGTACGCATATGCTCCTCATGGAATATCATTTATGCTTCTCACCCCGCGCGCAGACGTCTATCTTGCGACCCGTTTGACCCGGCTGGCAACCCTCCGACATCCCTCTCTCTGTCAGACACATAGAGTAGGCAGCACACGATATCCTTATACATACGTCTAATCCGGCCATGATTGCCCCGCCAACCGCCTCGAAAACTCTACCTCGACTATGAACGTAGCATGTCACCCTTCCTATCTCTGTGTATGTGACCCCATTCTCCTAGCTTCTTTAAAACACTTTGTGACAAACCTCGCGACATGATGAATTTCGTGCAGGTTTCGCTTTCCTTCGCTTATTCTTTGTATTAAAAACTAACGGACTTATATTGTATTATCGTAAATTTATAATAATACAATTTACAATTCGATAAATCTAATTTTATTAATTCGGGTTAATCGGATATTGCAATATATTAGCTCGAATTAATTATAATTAGTGTATAAAGTCACGAAAATACGTTGATGATTCTTTCAATTAATCGTAAACTCAGCAGTCTCAAAGATAGTAATTTTTCTGCGGATTACGTCGCGGCGCGTGTCTATTGACGCGGATCCTTTTTCTTTCCCGGTATAGTGGCGGAAAGAGAGAGAGACACGGGGATGGTATAAGGGTAGAACGATCTCAGACGGTCGTCAGGCAACCAGCGAGGTTACCAGCCAATTACTTGGCTGAGCGGTTTTATTTGTATTTAATTCTTATTTAATTTACTTTTTACGGTCGCATGGTTTTGCCGCCCCCGTTAAGGAAATGGAAGGTTTCTTCGTCATTGCAAATTAACGGTCGCTCGCCATTTATCCCGTGAAACACAATCAATGTAAATAAAAAAGCATCAGTTGGATGTTATTCGTAATGTTCGACAACGAAAAAAGATTCACATTTGATAAAAGTTGTACATCATACGAGAAATTAATTATTCCATAATGAAATTGAGCATGATCAGATTGTTTGATAATGCACGCGATACATGTTAAAAGAAACGCGCAGCCATTTGCACTATGTGTATAGATATATTTTTAGATGCATTAAATATTCAAAAATCAATTTTAATCGGGCATCTTTAGAAACATTTTAAAATGGATAATGACATAAACAATGATATGATAATGCTGCTGTCGTGAAAACCATCCTTAGACTGACTTCGCTCTATCTATTCGATTCTTTCACGCGTACAGTTTTCCAGAAGGAAATTCTGCGTGAAAGTCGAAGCAAAGTCGCATTGATCCCTCTGGGATGAAGCTGTTATTCCACTGAACTTGTTACGTTATATTTATCAGCGCGGTGCACACTGGCACCACCCGTCGGGTTTTATCGTTCCTTTCGGATTCGTTCTTCCACCATCATTTCAGTTAAATAGAAGCCGCAAATGACATAGCGAATAATAAGCAGTGGCACATTAAATTAACCAAATGTCATATATTATGCAACTTTCCATTTTTAAATTTATATTGTTTCTTTCAACCTAAATGACATATAAATCTAAATATTCTTCTCTAAATATTATATGGAAGAAGTGCATTAGAAGTATACAACAGCAATTTTTTGAAAGTGCGATAAAAATGCGACATAAAACGATAACCGATAAAAAAGAGAAAAATGTTAAAATTTTATCGCAAACTATTGTATTTCTGATTTTGTAAACTGAATTTTCTTTAGGGAATTTTTGATATTTTTGCAATTTTGCGATATATTTAATTCTTAACATTTTGTACATAAATTTATGTTAATTCATACATTTGTAACTTGTTTATCTTTACACTTTAATTGTATCCTACATAATCTTAAAATAAAATCTTATATCAAAAACTTTATTGATATTCAAATAAATGGAACAATTCTATAAAAAAACGTATCCCCTGATCTCGATTTATTTTTGTTTCTCAGCCCACGCTGGACAAAAAAGCCATTCTCCTTCTAACGAGTTAGACCTATCAGAGGGTGGCAGCTTAGGAAGCTTATTTTTTAATTTTTGCACAATATGGTCACACGCGTCGGCGTGATGTTTACTCAATGTTTTAAAGTTATTTTAAAACAACTCGTCCCACGGGAAAGGGATATTCCTTTTGGCACGAATGTCAGGGGTTGACATCATGATCTCAAGTATAGTGGGAACAAACATTTGCCATGTTATCATTTCTCCTGTATGAACTTTAAAGAACCACTAGAATGAAAGGATCAGTTAGAAATATACTTCAGGAATGGGCCAACGTTTCCACCATTTATAAAACACTACATTTATCACAAATTCGCAAAAATCACGTTTTACAAAAAAATCTCAAATTCATTTTAATATCTCCATATTAGTCCCAAATATCACAAAAATATAAATGAATATATCCTTTTACATAAAGATAAAAATTGAACGACATGTGTTCTTTTCGATAATCGTCGAACAAACGCATCTCGCGTTTCCTCTAATCTCGAAATAAAAAAGGCGAAATAAATTTTTACTACCGCACGCGGCTTCCACTTTTTCTTGATCTTCCGCGAGCGAGCAGAGAATGGCGGGAAGGGGGGAGGGGGCGAGGAAAGCAAGAGAGAGAAGAGAAGAGAAAGACGGATTAAAACGCGAGCGAGAAAAGGCGTCTAAACGATGGTGGAAGGTCAAGCCCGAGATTACGACAGCCCCGTGCGACGTTTGCTCGTTAATTAGAGAGTTCTAATTATAGTAAATGCATGAGCCCGGACGCAGTGGTGGCGCGGAGAGATCGTGCCACGGCGGAAGCTCCAGGGATCAAAATGCAACCCTCCGCGAACGAGCCAAGATTACCTTCGAGGACCCTCGGGCGCTTTCCCTCGCTAAGGCTCGACCCACAACCTGCGCGACAACGACCGTTCTCCGTCTCCCTTCCGCCTCTCCTCAATCTATTCACCGTTTCCCTCTCTTCCCGTCCCTCTTGCGTTTCCTCAACGATACCTCTCAGATATCACCTAAAATAACAACGTTCTAGGAGCGCGCACGAGTAGATAGATTTTACTGCTGGTGGTGTATAACAAATGGATTAGTATTTCGGTAGTCGTCTAATCCCCTCTCGCTGTGGCCCCGGAGATTATTTCGATTATCCGGACCTGATTTTAGTTAATTAACGCTGTCTACCCCCGCTCCCTTCAATGACCTAGTCCGAGAAATAATTCGCTTCGGACTTATCTTAGATCGTCACATTGATATTACAAGTACTGTTAATTGCACTATTAATTTGTAATTACCAATTTCGAGCAAAATTAATTTTCCAGTCTGTACATATATGTTTCATTATTGCAAGCGTAAAGAAAAATAGCATTTTGCATCAATCTATTATATTAAAATTAATTGTCCCGATATAGCTAAGTTTTTTCTTTTAACATTCATATTAACAAAATTTTCAAACATTACTCCCGAACATAGGGAAAATACTAAAAAGTAAGATATAATTTCACAATACTATTTATATCATAATGTAATTTCCTTTAACGAAGCTCGAGATCAATCGCATTTAATAAAGCTTCTGTTTGGCGAATGCAAGAATAACGAGAATGCAACGCATACGAACGGAAAATTATATCGTTATGAGAGGCGCTGGATTATTTGTGTAGAATTTCGAGATTGTCTGTCGTAGCTCGGTCGCGCCCTTACAGCCGCGAATAAGGCAAATATCGGTGTAGAATCCGCGCGAGTGAGAAACGTGACGGAACAACGGCATACAATGAGGGTGTACGTGTACACCGATACGACCCCCGGCATCACGTGGGAACGTGAACACGCGTCCTCGTCGCCCCTCTGTGCGTGCCCCGACGCGACGCAACTCCGAGGGTTATTTCTGCCATCTCGACTCCCTCGTTTGCGACACATCTCGACCATGCAAATTATTAGCGACAGTTTTAAAAACGTTCGATTGTAATAATAATATAATACTCGTGAAAATCAATGTCGGACCTGGGCAAACATTCCAAACAGCATAAACTGTTAAATATTCAAAATATAAGAGTTTTTTTTAAATATTTTATCTCTCTTAGCATTAGTGTGTGTATTATATATTGTGTTTATATGATTCATAAGGTTCTTCAGTTATAATATTTAAATATTTCATGCCTAGATATTTTATTAAATCTACATATCTCTTGGCGAGATATAGAGTAGATATCCGTATCTCGCGTAAATAAAATCGCGGGATATTTTGTTTCCAACCGCAGCGCGGTGAGAAACGCGTTTCGACGGAGATTGCCGCCATCCCCTGCGTGTTTTCACCCCTGAAGTTTTTCCCTACAGTCGCCTATGAAGAGCGCGCGTCGCGTCGATTCACAGACGCGGAAAATCTGACGGATGCGAATACGCGACATGTATAACATATCTATACGTCGCACACGTATGGCATTCGGAAGGGCGGACACGTAACAATTACCGTAGCCACGAGGGTGACTGACGTACGTCAAGGTCGTCAAAGCGAGCCTGTTTCTTATCAAGCGATTATCGGGCGGTGTCATAAAAGAAAAAGAGATTAATTAAAAATCGGCTGTTATGACATATTCAGTAACGATAAGAGTTGAGATATAATTAAACATAAGAGTTGAGATATAATTAAACATAAGAGTAAAGCACAATAAAATAAAATTATTGAAATTCAAACTTCATGAATTTTTAGGACAAGTATTTTACAAACAATACATAATGATAATGCAAGTACTATATTTTAATTTAAGTTCGCTAATAAGCTCTTAATTAACTTGTCACATTTATATGTATATTCTAATAAATATATATAATATATAATAAATATATAAAATGTCTTTTATTATTCATATCCAAAGAAGGAAATAATTCTAAAATCCTTTTCTTCTCAACAATAAGAATCTATCATTTCTTAAAAAGTTCTTCTTATTTGTTTTCTGATTAGTTTTTCTTAATTCTCATTATGCATGCTCTCTTGACATTATAAATTTAAAATAAAATATAATGTCAGCATGTATATACATACAATTAAAAGTATATTATGTTTTTTTTAAACTATGTTTTAAATCTTTTGATATAGTTTTAAATGTTGTTTGAAACTGTACTCTATTGTTTTTAAAGTATTAAACAAATAGATTTTGTTGTTCTGCAATTTGTATTATATGAAAAAATTTAGTATTATAATAGATTATAATCACATACATACTCTTACATATAACTATCTTGTCTGCTTCGAAAATGGCAGAAATAGATGTCTCTTTATCTCTCATAATCTTATCATTGATCGTTGTCATCTGACTTGCGGTTATCGAGAGTGCAAGAAAAAATTCATATATGCGTATATCGTAACTATCATTAATGTTTATTATACTTGTTTAGCGGAGGCTGTG